TTGATTGTTCCTTGCTAACTGGACTTTTAAAATGTCTCGTTTGGTTTTCCTTCAGGTACGTAGAGGACACAGAAAACAAATGCCTCCTAATGACAGAACAAAAATCTGCACTTTGTAGGAATTACAGTAATGGATTAATGAATTTATATAAAATTACTTGATTTCAATCAACCAACAACTAACCGATGATCGGTCATTTTCTTGAAGACTCTGAGTTTTCTCTTGCATCAAGATCTTTTTATACAACATAAAAGGTTAAAATATTTTTTAGCCGTTTTATGTTAAACCATGTACTAAAAAAAAGTCACTAAATTTATTTTATTATTTTTAAAACTAGACAGACAGGAAACGGGTTTGAAGAACGGTAGGAAAACAGCGGCATAGGTCCAAAAGCCAGGACTGGAACCTGCAACGGCCTCGTCGGGGACTAAAGCCTCCGGTCGCATTAGTGAACTTAAGAAACTAAAACAGCACAGGAACATATTCTAACAAACGTTAGAAAGCCTTATGTGAAACATTATTTCCAACACACAGAGATGTAGAACTATCATTAACAGACAGGGTATGTCGCTCCGACATGCTGTGAGACTATTTACCACTTAAATTTAATTATTTTTCAAATCACCGAAACAAAAGAAAATTCACTTCTTGTGGAAATAAATGCATGCCACACTTTTCAGATTGTTAGATGCATCGTTTCCTTCCTGCTTTAAATTAACTCTCACACTAAATTCCATCTAAATCTGCAAGGTGCTGCGATACATTTCATCCCCCATAAACAGAGAAAAGACTCCACAGAGTCTGAAACCCAGAGTTTACAGCTCTGCAGACAAAATCCAGAACCCTGCTTTCATATTCATCTCCCAGCATCCCCTGTTTATGCTGGAGAAGAAAAAAAAAACATTCTTGGACCAAATGAACAAGTCAGTGGAGCGTGACATTCTGTGTTTTGATTTCTAAATATATCCTTCGCTTCCTGGGGTGAGGAGTACACCAAATCTCAGGGGACTAGAACACTGAGTGCAGACGAAGGGCTGGGATCAATGCTCGATGTTTCAGGCCAGCTTCCTGCCGGCTCACGCCTAATATGGTCACATCTGACCGAGCGATAAGCTCCAGAATCTGAGCGTTGTGACCACAGGGTGGACGCCTGTGGAGGGAAAGCTCACGCAGGACGCCGACCCGTCCTTCATTTTTGAGGCAACACATTTTAATGTCAGATTCCTGTACATTTCCAAATCTGTCATTTTTTGGCCCATTTTGAGTGAAAACGATGGAAAACCAGACAGACGGACTTTTCCAGGGCGAAGCTGTGGAGGAAAATGACAGTTGGTGCAGCTTTGCATGTTACAGCAGCTCATAAAAGGCTTCTGCTGCCTCCAGTCCACGTTCAGGAAGAACAGCTTTTAAATAAAATCTACATCCTCATCAAAACTTTGCATCTGCAGGACGGCATTGGAACTTTTTTCGTGTCTTGCAAACAGCTCTTCTTTTTGATCCTCTTGTTGCAGCGTGAAGTCCAGGGGTTAATTTTAACACCTTGATGAACCACTGCAGACTCAGGACTGCAATGTCTATGAAGGACATCCTTTGTATCGCTGCTGAGCACCACTACTGCCCCCTGCTGTCTGTCAGCTGCCATGTTTCCTCCTGCAGGAGCAGAAAACATGTCTTGGCTCTGCTGATGTCATTTTATAGACAGATCAGACACTCGGGGCGTCCCCAGCCAAAACCAGATGGTCTAAGAAAGGTCTTGCTCTTCCAGTGACTGTCTGTCTGGGTTGCATCTACAGATGGGAAACTCCTGCCTGTGACGCACTTTTAAATCCCAGAGATGCATTTAAATAATTCAGGATGAGAGAATAAAGAGAGGGAGAATATACAGTTCAGATAGCACCTCTGTCTCTCCCAGGCTGAGCCTGTGTGGCTCGCTGCCGTCTGGCAGATGGTGTCTGGGCTTTGGCCCCGAGCCAGGACAGAGCAGGTGGGCTTAGAGGTAAACATGGTCATCAAGCAGAGAGATGAGGGAACACGGGGGAAAAGGAAGAAACTCTGTTATCTCCCTTTTTGACATGTTCAGCTGAAGAAACGTCTCTATGGTAGCAAACAGGAACAGCTGATTTCTCCAGTGATGCTCGAAGACAGGATCTAGAACTAGATACTCTAGTTTAATCAGGAAATCTTTAAGTTTCATTTTATTGCCATCAGAGTTTTTTTTTAACTCTGGAAACTTGAGACCAATAAATCCTGAGAAATCTTTTTTTCTTGTGTCCGATCGATGGGGTTAAAAATTGCTTTTTTACTTTTTCAAACAACCAAAAGATTTCATCATCATTCTGTTACTAACTGTATCTCAGAGCTCATCTGACTGACTGTGTGTTTCCTGGATGGGGCCGCCTGTGGAGCTTGTTGACAAGTTCCTTTTGTATCTCTGCTTCTTTTTGTATCTCTGCTTCTGTCTCAGACTTGATGAAGTCAGACAGAAAAGGCTAATATGGCCTTCTAGTGATTATGTCAGTTCTACAGGTTCATTCATTCATTCAGATATTTTTATTTTTTTATATCTTGTATTGTTTATAAAGCTCATCTTTCCCCTTCCTTCACTCATTCTGTCTCCTTGAACTCCCCTCGGCAGATGGCCGCTCACACTGAGCCTGGTTCTGCTGGAGGTTTCTTCCTGTTAAAAGGGAGGTTTTCCTCTCCACTGTCGCTACAAGCATGCTTAGTGCGAGGCTGCCGTTGGACATAAGTTCTGGACTCGTTATGAATACGCTATGTATGCGCCCAAAATTTTAAAATTAGATAGAAAGTTCAGTGTATGCCAGTATTTTAGAAGATTCTAGGACATCGTGCATGCACTGTCTAAATCGCCATGGTGACAGGGCCCCAAGGACTAACCCCTCATATCGACTGCTGTGTTTTGGGTTTTTTCAGTCATTTAGTTCACAAACGTTTCTCTATTTCAGTTAATTGTTCACATGTCAGGTTTCTGAAACCTGGAGCTCAGTCCCGAATGTTAAACGAATTGCCTCGGCATATTTCAAATCCAGATATCATCCAAATAAAACGTTGGATCAGTAGCTTCAGCAGAAGCTGATTAGAAAATTATGAGGGACAGGATTCCTCTGTGACTGGTTGTCTGTAAAAATCTTCTGACGAAGTTGGTAACTTTGAAAGAATATTAGTAGATATTAGTATACATTATATAGTATTATTAGTGCGTCCATGTGTACTCACAATGGCCCGGGCCTCTGCGATGAAGAAGAGCTCAGTGAGAGCTCTGTGAAGAGGCAGCAGCACTGATATACTGGTAGGATCCTGACTCAGGTTGCTCTCCATGGACATGAAGAGCTGCCATAGCGGCCGCAGCAGCGTTAGCTCGCAGGCTCTGGAGAACAAACACCAGCAAAGGCCAGAGTCAGAAACGCAGTGAGAGAAACAAAGCTCCTGTTAATACCAGAGTTGCACTTTTACAGATCAGTTAGTTTGATTGATGTTAAAATAATCTGTATCGTTCTTTAAAAAATCGATCTCTAATGGAAAATTGTTCATATCAGCCCGTTTCTGCTTATCAGACTGATACTGATATTCTTAAAAAAAGATGGATGTCAGCCAACACCAATATTATCCTTTCAGCAAAGAGCATGTTTTATAGTCTGTTTACTCCTGCTAATGGTTTAATTCAACTAAATAATTTGATAATTACATAAATTATCAATTAATTAATTATTTCAGTCCTTTTACACGTAGAAGCATTTTAAGAAAATGAAAAATAAAAAGTACCCTTTTCCCATTCTGCTCTATAATAATTCAGATTAATTAGCCATGCTATGTGCTGATGTAGCTAGCCTTAAAACATTCTGCTTGTAGATTAGATTTAAAATTAAATTAACATTTTTAGTTACTGGTCAGAAATATAAACAGCAGTTTTTTTTTTAAACAAGGAAAACGTGTTGCCATCCCTCTGCCAGCTGAGCAGCAGTGTGCAGCCAGGCAGGGGGATGGTACCACTAGGCTCTCTGTCTGGTACCTCTTCATGAAGTGTTTAGGTGGTCAGATCTGCTCGAGTCATGCGCATTACCTGACATTATGCTAAATCAGGGGTCTTCAATGGTTTCGTTTATTAAAGGATTATTAAAGTATTTCTGGTTGTGATTCCTGGTTGATGGGACAGGTGTTGTGAATGAAACGGTGCCCAGCTTGAAAGAGCTCCTGTGTGTCGCTGAATGTGTGCATTGATGATTGAAAGACATCTTCTGCCTCCATTTATCTGTTTACTACAGTGTGTTGAGTTCATGTTAATGTACCTGATTGGTTAAATGTTGCCACATGACATAAAACATTGTGGTTGCCCAGACAACGCTAATTAAATAATGCAGCGTCTGTGTGCAGAGTCAGGAGTATCTGAAGTGTATAGGGCTGGGTATTGTTCAAAAATGTTCGATTCCGGTACCAATACCGATACCTTCACTTCGATACCGGTTCCTGAACGATACTTTTTTCGATACCAGTTTTATAATATCAATTCGAAGAAAAAGAAAATTACACAACATAATAAAGTACAAATCTTGAGTTTTATTTTAAGCTCTGATTTTTCCATTTACATTTTTCCTCTTACATAAAAAAAAATTTTG